TCGGGATAAATCGCTCCGGAGCGTTCCGGAGCGCTCTCGGAGCGCTCCGGAACGCTCTGGAGCGGCCGCGGCGCCCAACACATCCTCCAAGCCCGCCGATCCTCAGAGATTTCGAGTTCTCCCGATCCGATTTCGCCCCGACCTTCGCGTCGTTTTCACGGGGCCCTGCCTCGCCGCCGCCGGCCACCGCGGAGGCCCCGGCCGCGGCCCGCGGCCGGGGAAGCCCGCGCGGCGGCCCCGCGGGCCGCGGGCCCGGCCTGGGGAGCGCCGCCGGGCGCGGGCGGGGAGGAGCGACCTCCGGCGGGGGCACGCGCGGCGGTGTAGGGGGGCAACTGCTGGGAGGCTCCTCGTCGGAAAGGTTAAGGAGGATTGAGCCCCACTTGAGGATGGAGGAGCTAGAGAGGATTAGGATCCAGCCCCACTGTGAGATTCAATATGAAAGAAGATTGAGGAGCCACTACGCCGGAGAAGGCCTCGGATGAAGCGGGATTGAGCCGGATTCCGCGGGATGAAACGGCCCCGAGGGCCAAGTGAGGACCGGAAAGGAGGAGGGGGAGGAGGGAGGAGGAGGAGGAGGCACTCCTCACGAGGCCCAGGGGACCACTCCACGAGCATCATGGGAGCCTGGTATATGTCCTCTTGATTCCGCCTTTAGCGTCGATTGCAACGATCGGCGTCTGAGAGTCGATGCGATAGCGCCGATCTAGCGTAGGCTCAGCGTCGATTGAGCGTCGATGTATCGCCGAGTAGCGTCGATTTAAGCGTCAGTGAGCGTCGGTGTAGCGTCGATTCGCAAAAGCCGACAAGATGGTATGGGAGGCTCCCATGAGTCGCCACCGACCCTCACGGTGCCCAGGGGGGGCTCAAATGTATGGAAGAACTGAAGGTGTCTTGGGCATAGGGGGTGACAGGCTCAGGGGGGAACACATTTACCTGGAATCGTCGATGCAGCGCCGATAGATCGGCGATAGGCCCCCGATGTGTGGCCTTAGCCTGAATGCCACCGAGACGAGGATTGCCACGAACGATCCGAGCAAATCCCACGCTGAAATTCCGACGGTGGTATCGTGTGGCACTATGTCGTCACCTGTCATGCCATGCCGTGACTTCCACAAGCACCTCGGTCAGAAACTCAGCGCCAGTCTGACCGGCCGCTACATGCATGCGCCGTAGTTACTTGTTGTCTGCGCTTGCTGCGCACATGCAGTACTCACGTCGTATGTCCGCCTCACCTGTAGGGCGAGCCGCTCCCCCCAGAGCTGCTCGGTCGGACGCTGCGTCTGCGCTTGTGCGCCCGGCGAGTTTTGCGTAGCCCGCCTAGCTTTTAGCGGAAGAGGTTCGCTCTCGCCCCGCCGACCAAAAAAGCTTGTGCGCCGTGCGCCCCCGACGGCGAACCCGCACGCCCTCTGGCGGGGGGGGCCATCGGGCCCCTCTCAGAGCTGCGTGGGCGCCTGCGGATCACTGCCTCCCCCCCCCTGGGGGCCAGGCCCCGTCGGCGCGTCGGTCCTCGATCCGCCCAGATGTCCGACGAGGAGGAGGAGGAGGAGGAGGAGGAGGAGGAGGAGGAGGAGGAGGAGGAGGAGGAGGAGGAGGAGGAGGAGGAGGAGGGAGGAGGAGGAGGAGGAGGAGGAGGAGGAGGAGGAGGAGGAGGAGGAGGAGGAGGAGAGGGAGGAGGAGGAGGGACGAGGAGGAGGAGGAGGAGGAGGAGGAGGAGGAGGAGGAGGAGGAGGCGTTCGAGCAGGGGCGGGCTCCGATGGCCCCGGTGTCGAGCGGGTGGTCATGGGGAGTGGCCCATGACGGGGGCGTGGAGGAGGAGAACGGCCCTCGAGGGGCCCTCGACGGCCCCTTTGGTCTCCCCGCTGGCTCCAGCAGGAGCCCTCGAGGGCCCCTCGTCTTCACCCCCCAGGTAGGTCACCCCTCAGTGCCCGAAACCGGGCGGACTCGCCCAGCGTGAAGCCAGTCCAACGCCGGGATCTCATGGACCGCTGGGAGCGGCCGAGAGCTCCCGAAGGCCCTGAGCCGATCTCCCCCTGACACTGAAGACCTCCCGGGTGGTGTCGGACTAGATCAGGTCGGAGGATCGCGCCGCATCGTCGATTCAGCGGCGACGCGTCGACGACGTCGGCGTGGAGCACATCGGACTCCACGTCGAGCCGCATCGCCGATGCACTGGCCGTGCGGCGCGATCCCCCGACCCCGTCTGCTCTCCGATCCCGTCCGGGAGGCCTGCACTGACATTGAGCAGGGACCGACCGTCCCGGCATTCCTATAGTCATACCACGACATGTTCTTAGAACCAAAAAATGTTCTAAGAACAAAAACCATGTTCTTAGAGCACAAACCCGATGTATCCAAACGAGACAGACTCCGCCAGAAATGTTCTAAGAACCTTCCGTGGGAACCACAACAGGTTCTTAGAACATTATTCAATGGGGCTGTAGGCACGCCGGGACGCTTCGCCACTGCTTGACTGACGCTGCCCCCGACCAGGGCCACGCCCCCGGCACCAGCCAGCGCAGCGCCCGCCGCGGTCAGGGCCGCGGCGCGCGCTCCGACGGGCCCTATGCGCCGGCGGCGGGGCATGGCCGCCAACCGCGGGGCGGCCTCCGCGGCGCCTTTCCGGGGGGGCGCTTCGCGGGGCGGCTGCGAGTTCGAGGCTTGAGCTCAGACGGCCAGGGGCGGCGGGGTCGGAGTTCATCAAAACCGCGCCGCTCATGGACACTTCGAACAGGCAGCGACCGAAGCTGCCCTCCTTTGTGTCGTCTCGCATGGCGTTCCCAGCTCAGATTTTGAACTGCGATCCTGTGCTTCGCAGAATGGTGACGTGCGATTCTGGGGTCGCGCTCTTCTGCTTCCCTCCAACAAAAAACCGAAGATGCCCTCTTGCGAGCGCGTGGAGGCGAAAGGACACGACGCTCGTCGAACTCCAAGCAATCGACTTCGAAGGCCGACGTGGAGAAGGCGGATCCAGTGGGGGCCAATGCTCAAGAAACCTTCCACAAGAAATCCAACCCTGAGACCCCAGGACGGCCCTATTGAATTTTTTTTGGTGTGGGAACGTCACGCTGTCCACAGCGAAACCGCCGAACCCCCCCCCAAAAAAAAAACCAGGGCACCCTGGAGGCACGCATGGTGGTTCTTGGCATGGGCTTCCCCGCCCTCGGGCAACATAAGGCCCCCTCCTGGCCAGCGCTGCGCACGAAAAGCTCGGCATGGCTGCGCGGGGATGGCCCGATAACTTCTGCTGGACGGGGAGCCTCAAGAAGTGCCCTCCCCACTACGGGGGCCACACATATACACCACCACCACCACCTCCCTCACCCCCTCCCTCTCCCAGGCAAGAAGAAGGGAAGAGGAAAGTAGAGGATGAGCAGGGACTGGAGGGGGTGGTGGTGTATATCTTCTGGGCCCGCACCCACATCACCTCAAAATCCGCTCTGCCGACACATTGCCGTCTCCTCTGAATCCCCGGCTTAGCAGGCTGTGCAGGCATCTTATTGTGGCTCCCCAGTCCGACGCGATCCATGCTACCGTCGCGCTCGAGCCCAGACGGCATGCGCTGATGCAGACGATCGCACACTAACGCAAGAATATTACCATATCTGGAGGCTTGTACCAGCCTCAACGAAACAACCGATGTCTTAAATGTCATTGGATATTGGCACCCGTAGCCCTGCTGCAGCTTCAATGTGACCACACATGACTGCCGAGAATATCAAGAAGAACATGCGGTTATTCACATGCGTTCTGAACAGGCTCGCCTTGAACACAGTCGTCGCGAACATCAAACACAGGAATCAGCACGCATGATGTGCAGCATGTGAACGCGCCGTGGCAGGCTCAGTGAGCTGGACAACAGCAACCATCACAGGACTGGCCAGACCAACCGCTGGTACGAGCCGCGGCAAACAAGAAGAGATCGACGGGCACCTCTTGGTGGATGACTGGTATGTGAAGCCACTGCAGCCCACTGAGGCATCACAGGCCTGCAAACAACACTCCTGGGGGGCTTGAAGCGAACACGCAATGACTGCTGACATGCATCGTGGTGCTGGCACTGCGCATGACACCGCACAGCCTCACCGCTGAGCAAGAAGAACAAACGAGCAGGGCGAGTGCTGACATGGCATAAGACTACAGGGCAGTCTTTAATACATGGGATTCAAAACAACATGATTTTTAAATTCATGAATGAATATATGCATGAACTCATCGTTGGTTTTGATACTAAATCCCTGCATTCTTCATATATGATCCGCACGCGGAGCATGTATTAAAAACGGCACTGTAAGCTCGGGCAGCCAGATATCCAAGAGCAAGACAAAACACTGGAGCCTGGCGCAAGCTACTGACGATGGGGGGTTCTGATACCGCCGTCTCGCGCCTGGCCGTGCCCCCGCGAAGCGGTGGGACCCCAAATCACGAGGATGCCTCGCGTGGCAACAGATCCCGGGCCCGGAGGCAACAGGCCCTGACGGACACAGGCCCTGCACCCTGGGGCCTTGCCCCGGGGCGCGGCTCTCATCCCGGGCCGGCCGTTGATCACCCCATGGGGCCATGGGGAGGGGGCCCGAGAGGCGGCGAAGCACGACTCCAGGACCCATCTTGTCCTCCAGGACCCGCTCCGTCATGGTGGCGAAGATCTCTCCCGCGGCGGCCGCTGATGCCGACGGGGATCCCAAAAGCAGGGCGGGGGTTTGCACATCCGCCACCGTGCCCTGGTGGCACGAAGTGAAGTGTCCCCAGGTCCCTTGCTCCATTCCCTGAGCCTCGGTCCTCAATCCTGAGGACTCTCTTCTAGGGCCCAGATATCCTGATGCTTCCCGCGGCTCCTCGCGCAACTCTTTCGGAGCAAACGGGGCCCCAAGACAGGCCAAGAGAGCCCCAAGAGGCCCCAAAGATGCTCCATGAGGTCACTGAGTCGCCGAAAGACCGCTCCAAGACGCCCAAGATGGCCCCACGACGGCCCATGAGGCCGCCAAGACGCCCCAAGAGAGCTCCAAGAGGCGTCCCAGGAGAGCCCCAAGAGGCCAAAATAAGGATTTGGGGGTTCTCCACTTTTCGAGCTTCGGACGCTTCAAGACGTCCCAGGAGGCCCCCACGACCGCCCAAAACGGCCCCAGAGTCCCAAGACGGCCCCAGAGGGTCCCAAGGCCCCAGACAGGGAACACAAACTGAGAGTCCGAGAATGAGAATCCGAGATTTCCGCCCCAAGAGGCGCCCTGGAGGCCCCAAGAGGCCCCTAAGACGCCCCAGGAGGCCCCAACGAGGCTCACAAGATGCCCCCAAGAGACTCAAAAGAGGCCCAAACCAGCCCCGCAGAGGCCTCAAAACTGCCTCCGACAGGTATCCGAGAAGCCTCGACGAGATCCCAACAAACATCCAAGATGCCTCGGACCCACAACCCAGGCACGGTGGCGGGATGGGCCGAAGGCCATCAGACATCCACCGCCTGCGGAACAGATGTGGCGGGACCAAACGGGTGCAGTGGGTCCCAGGCGGCCCGAGCATATCCCTATCCACCGCATCCCGAGGTCCAATAAGATCCGCCCCCCAGGCGGTGAAGTATGTGGCTCGTTCCAGAAACCCTGAAGCCAAACAAGCGTATCTCTTGGGGGCGCACAATTTGCTTCCGCCGACCTTCTCTGGAATGGGATATAATCACTGCAATCATTTCCCCAAACTCACGACGAGATCAAGGAATAATCACGCATATCGTTTTTTCTCTTTGCGAGCAGCAAAACCCGTGGTTGTGCGCACGCACCAAGGCGTGATTGAGCGCCGTCCTGTCAACCTTACCTGCCTCTGCGGGCAAAGGCGCCGCTGTTTTGTTATTTTCGCTAAGCACCGCAAGCCTTCCGCCCGCTTTCGCCCGAAGAAGGGCTCTCCACTCCTCCTCCTCCTCCTCCCCCTCCTCCTCCGAGTCCCCCGAGTCCTCGACGGCGAGGCCCCCTTCCTAAAGCGCGCCGTGCACAAATCCCAGCTCAACCGACCCGAGGACGCCTCGCACAGGGAGCCGTCGAGCAAGACCTTGAGGACTGGGGGCGGCCATGGGGTCCGGGCCCGAGAAGATCGCTCAAGACGGGGAGGGGGGGCAATCGGGTGCTGCCGGAAGTTCTCCCGGCCCAAGGTGCCCCCAGGATGTCCAAGGAGGCGCCCCCAGAGCACCCCTCACGAGGCCCAGAGGGCCCCAGGGGCTCCAAAATTGAACTAAAAACTGGGGGCCCCTTTCCACCTTGGGCCAGCGGTGAGGGCATCTCCGCTCAAAGTCCGCCTCGCGGGACCCCTCGCGGGACCCGCCTGGTGCAAAAATTTCCCCCGCCGGAGCCGTGCTTGACGGCCCTGGAGCCCGCAAGCGGCCCCCTTGAAACCGAAGGCGGCAAAAACTGCCAAGAGACGCCACGAAAAGATATACACACAGACGCCCTCCGACGATTCTTGCACGCACCTTCAGGGAAGGCGGAAGGGCGTTCGAACGATTTCGGCATGCGCGCGCGAAGCCCGTTTGGTAGCATGTTTGGAACATGTTGAAACAAACAACTGCGTTTTCTCACGCGCGCAAGTTTTTGTTTGGAAATCCGTGTTGCGAAACCATGTGCATTTTATACGTTTGTTTGGACATTCGATGTTGAAATCCTTCCGCGGTCCGGGACCGAAGGTTTTTGAAGGATTTGGCTAACGCGCGCGAAGCCCGTGTGGTAGCATTTTCTGACAACCTTGGAAGAAACCAATGGTTGTCTTAAGATTTCGCAACAGCGCGCGCGCAAGTCTTTTTTACAAAAAAAGTGTTGCGAAACCTTGTGTGTTTTAATTTTTTGGGGGGATCTCGATTTTGAGATCCTGCCGAAACCAAAGGTTTTTAAAAGGATTTCGGCATGCGCGCGCGACTACGCGCGCGTGCGCACTTCGTCTCATTTGTTTGTGTGAGGGGTTCGTGAAAATTTATGATGGTTCATAAACGAGTGTGCGCGCATAGGAATTTTGCAGAGGATGGCGGGGGGGGGGGCGATACCGGCCCCCCTGGGAGTGTAGACTCACATTTAGGATGGACGGTGGGGCAGAATCATTTGTAAATTGCAATACGAAAGCGTGGATGGTCAAGTCGTTGGAAAGAGGGTGGTAGAACCGATCTTTTTTTTCTTTAAAAAAGAGAATTCGCTTGTCGAACTTGAAGTTGGCAACTCCACTGCTCGCGCAATCATCCCACCCACCCACCCGCAACTTGGTTTGCAAAACCTACGCGGGGACGATTGCGATAAGTGCTGGGTGTTGGCTGGAGCATCTCTGCGGCCGCGCTAGCCCGCGCATGCTCGCGCGCGCCGCGGCCAGCTAGTTTGGCGCGACCGACGCGAACGCGGTGGCGCTGACTTGGGCGGGCGCGGTATCATGACAACGTCGACAACGGTAGACACGATGATGATAGTAGCGATGCTGGTGACGACGCTGGCAGCGACGACGGGAAGCCAGTGACGGCGCCGATGCTGATCGCGCCGACGACGATGACGGCGTCTTCGTGTCGGTGATGATGGCTCTGGAATGAATTCGAAATGCGCGCGCGGCAGACGCGCGAGTGGCTCGGATGGTTTTCTTTGACACGGATCGCGCCACACCAGCACGCGCGCAAGGGCGTTCGAGCGAGTTCGACATGCGCGCGCGAACCCCGTTGGGTAGCATTGTATGAAATTGTTGAAATACCGATGATTCCCCTAAGAATTCGCAAGACGGCGCACGTTTTTGTTGAGCACCCGTGTTGCGAAACCATGTGTTCTTATACATATATATATATTGGACACTCGATTTTGAAATCCTTCCGGAAACGACAGTTGTTGAAGGATTTTGGCTTGCGCGGGCCACGACGCGCGAGCGCGTGCACTTCGTCCCGTTGTTTTGCAAGGGATTCTCGCAACGTCACGCGTGCAAAGGCGTTCGAACGATTTCGGCATGCGCGCGCGAAGCCCGTTTGGTTGCATTTTCTGACAATCTTGAAAAACCCATGGTTGTCTTAAGAATTCGCAGGAGCGCGCGCACGTTTGCGAAACTTCTTATATGGTTGTTGGACACTCGATTTCGAAATCCGTCCGACACCGAAGGTTTTTAAAGGATTTCGGCATGCGCGCGCGACGACGCGCGCGTGCGCACTTCCTTCCGTTTGTTGCCAGGGATTCTTGAAAACTTATGACTTTTGATAAAAGCGAGTGCCAGCGCATACTTTTTTGCAGAGGATGGCGGGGAGGGGCGATACCGCCCCCCCTGGGATGGTGTAAATTCATAGTAAGGATGGACGATGGGCAAAATCACATGTAAATTACAATGCTAAAAAGTGAATATTTAAACCCGGGGGGGGAGGGTGGTAGAACCTATCTCCTTCATAGAAAAGAAAATTCACTTGTGGTGCAATCCATCCAGCGCGAAGCAGTGCGAACCGAGAAACAAGAATGCAAAACACTGCAGAGCAGTGCCAAGCACTGCCAAGCACTGCAAAGCAATGCCAGGCAGTGCCAGGCAATGCCAGGCAATGCCAAGCAATGCCAAGCAATGCCAAGCAATGCCTAGCAATGCCTAGCAATGCCAAGCAATGCCAGGCAATGCCAAACAATGCAAAGCACTGCAAAGCACTGGCACTGCAAAGCAACGCAAAGCAAGCACTGCTTGGGCGACGGTGCCCAGACGACGGGCGGCGACGGGGTGGCGACGAGGAGGCGGGCGGCGACGAGGCGGCGACGCCGCCACCGCCGACAGCCGGCGGGCGGCAATGAGGCGGCGATGGGGCGGCTACGGCGGCGACGTAGCCGCCAGACCGCCATCGCCGCCCAGTCGGCGGGCGGCGACGAGGCGGCGACGAGGCGGCGACGGGGCGGGGACGGCGGCCACATGGCCGCCGGACCGACACCGCCGCGCAAACGGCGGGCGGCGATGAGGCGGCGATGGGGCGGCTACGGCGGCGACGTAGCCGCCAGACCGCCATCGCCGCCCAGTCGGCGGGCGGCGACGAGGCGGCGACGGGGCGAGGACGGCGGCTGCATAACCGCCAGACCGCCACCGCCGCCCAACTGGCTGGCGGCGACGAGGTGGAGACGGGGCGGCGACAGGACGGCGACGGCGGCTACATAGAGCCACCAGACCGACACCGCCGCCCAGTGCCTTCTAAGAGAAGTCAGACCAACCAAATGCCAGCACTGTCTGGGGAATAGTAAGGGCACAAGGTGAGGATGCAATACCCTTGGAAGTCCCATTTGCCAATTTAGAGCTCCTCGGACATCAACATTGGCTCACGATGGGCCGAAGAAGCAAGGATGCAAAGGTGTCTTTGATGAAACAGCGAATCCTTACCATGGATTTTGACTGTAGGACCATTGGAGGATGCCCCGAGGGCGCGAAGAAGAGAAAAGGGGAAACAGGTGAAACGTTCAAGGGCATAGCTGGACCGCTCACGAGCGGCCTCAAACGCAACGCGGGCGCAGACTCTCGCGTGCGTGAAGCTCGTCCTGGTCGTCCGCCCCGTCTGCCATGACGGAAACGAACCTGGACGCTTTTTCGCCGCCCTGGGGCCGCTCGAAATCCGCTCACAATCGGTCGCCGAATCACTTCCGGCCTCCACCTGACCCGCTGCCATGGCGGAGCGAGCCGTTGCGACAACAGGGCTCCAGAGAGGCCAGGAGCAGGACGACAATGAACACCAGAAGAGGCCGACGTCGTCTCGACTGGACCCCCTCCGAGAGCAGGACGAAAATGAGGGGGCACGCGAGGGGGGGGGGGGCCTGCTCTATAGGGGGGAACGCCAAGCTGCAGTCGGCAGTACATCGCCCACGGACCGGCGACGGGCCCCTCGATGGTTCCGGGGCGGGGGTCGGCCGTCGGGCCCCCCTTGTCGGTGGTGCATGAGCGATCGGGTGTGGATGCGTCCTCCCCCGAGCGCGCTCCCCCTTGGCTCGAGGATGGGCAGACCCCCCTTTTTAGCAAAGCGTGGCTGAGTGAAAACGGCCTGAGGCCCAAACCTGCTGGGCGCAGGCCTGGAAAATCACGGCCACGGCGCCCTCTCGAGCACCGACAACGGACAACTCACTAGTCGACGCGTCACCGCTTGGGGAGGAGGAGGAGGGAGGAGGAGGAGGAGGAGGAGGAGGAGGAGGAGGAGGAGGAGGAGGAGGAGGAGAGGAGGGAGGAGGAGGAGGAGGGAGGAGGAGGAGGAGGAGGAGGAGGAGGGAAGAGGAGGAGGAGGAGGAGGAGGAGGAGGAGGAGGAGGAGGAGGAGGAGGAGGAGGGAGGAGGAGGAGGAGGAGGAGGAGGGTTCTGTCCGCCCCCGATGGACGCTGCCTCCGAGCGGCCCTCCTCCGAGGGCAAAGACGAGGAGGGGGGGGGGGGCGGGCGGGCAGCGTCCGAGGACACGTTGCTGCCCCGGCTGCTCGGGACCGTCGGGGGCAGGTACTCGCTGCCTGGCCGCGCGGCCGCGGGGGTGGGGGGGGCGGGCCAAAAGGCGAGCGGAGGCGCTGGCTGGCAGTGGGGGGAACAGGGGGGGGGAGGGGGGCTGGCTTGTGTCAGGGGGACGTAAGACCTGGGTACAGGGGACTCGGAAATCCCCGACGAGGTCGTCAAACAAATGACGAGGCCGAGCCTGCATTTTGACGAGGCCTCCCGGTGCAGACATCCCACGAAACTCCTCCTCGTCAAAATCCGAGGCGCGGTCGTCAAAAAACGATGGCGAACCCGAGTCCTGGCAAACCCGGGTCTTACGCTCCCCCGATTGTGGGGGGGGGGAGAACTTCGACCTGGAATCGGCGAGACGTCGCCGACAGATCGGCGACGGGCCCACGATGGCGGCTCCGAACGGTGCTGGGCCAGGTGGGCCATCGGGCCCCCTCTCGCCTGTCGGCGCGATCCAGGACGATCCGGGGTCGATGCACGCCCTCCTCTCAGCAGATCCCCCCCAACGCTTCCCCTGAGGCAAGGGAGGAGGAACGAGAAGGGCCGGAGGGGAAAGCGGGCGGCCCCAGGGAGGACAGAGGGGGAGGCCGGTCGCCCACCGTCGGACGAACATGAGCCCTGCCCCTGCAAGCCTGATGTCTGAAACGCCGACTGGGGTTCGGCCCAAAAGGGCAACAAGACCCAAGTCGGTCCCAACAGTGCCTCGGAGATCCCAAAGGGGGCCTAAGAGGGCCCCAAGGCAGCCCAGAGAGGCCCCCAGGACGGCCCCCGAAGGCGACAGACGACCCCAGAGCGCACTGGGACAGCCCAAGAGAGCCCCTCGCTGTCCCAGGAGTGGCCCAGGGCCCCCGAGAAGACCCCCGAGGCTCGAGAAGAGACCCAAGACAGCCCCGGAGGGCCCCTCCCGAGTGTGTCCCCGGGTGGCTATATCCAAACAGATCGGGCGGCGCGCGCTCCACTGGCATTACCGCACTGACACACAACATTGAAGGGACCCTGGGACACACAAATGAATACACACACTGAGAAGGATACCTCATAGTTTCCAATATTTTCTGGGTTTCTGTCTTCCCCCCCACTGCCAATATTTTCCCATATGTTCTGGGGAATCGACGATTAATTGTGTCTGTGTGTTTTTTCTCCTCCTGAAACATTCCCTCACACAGACGCTTCCCGAAGGCAAGGGGTGGCGGTGATTCGCCAGATTTGGACGCCCGAAATGGGCACGGAAAGAAGGGGTACAATGCCCAACAGCAAATGTTGTCCCGAACCAACAGCGGCCGCTGTTGGGCAGGCGGCCTTCTGTCTCGAATGGACCGCGGCGGCGTGGACAGCGAGTCCTGTTCAAAATGAACAGGATCCGCTGTTGGGCATTGTACCCATTCTTTCCGTGCCCATCTCGTTCGTGCAGACCAGAGGCGTCTTCGTTGATTACCCCCCGCAGCCTGGACCCGGCGTTAGGGGGGCGGCGTCTGGGAAGGAGGTCCATCCATGCCGGCAGGTCTTGCGACTCGACTTCACGGACGAAACGTGTTCTCGAGCGAGCTCTCCGCCATGAGAACCATAGTCCCTCTCATGCCCCTGCCCGGCTGGACAGCCTGGACGAGCAAGACCAGCATCGTGGGCAGCAAGACTAACATCGGAGGTAGCAAGGAAAGCTAGACAGCGGTCCACATGGGGGTAGCAAGGCCAACAAAGCTGCAAGAGATGGGAAAGGCGGATGGGGGAGGAGGGGGAAAGGGGAGTGGCAAGCTAGGTGCGAAAGCGCCTCGTCTGACGTCCTGCCCCTCCTTCACATCCCTTACCATCGTGGAGATCTCCTCTCTATTCGCGCAGTCGGATGTCGTAGCATGGCACAGCATTACATGGCATAACATGGCGTTGAAGATCAACGCGTAGCATGACAGTATGACATAGCATGGCGTGGCACTGCGTAGCCAAGCACTGCATACCATAGCATTGCAGCTGAAGGCATGGCATCGCACAACGGAGCACACCATAGCATTGCATTGCATGCCATGGCATGGCACTGGAAATGAGGCCAGCTGCAGCGGGAGCACGATTCGGAACGAGCAGAAGCGCGGAAATGAGGCCAGCTGCAGCGGGAGCACGATTCGGAACGAGCGGAAGCGCGGAAATGCGGTCGGCGCTGCAGAGGAAGCACGATTCGGAACGAGCGGAAGCACTAGAATGAGGCAAACACTGCAGCGGGAGCAACATTCTGAAGGACCGGAAAGAAGCGGATGTGACAACAAAACACATGTGAAGGAACACACAAAATGCGGACGGGGCCGAACATCTCCCAGACAAAGTCAGAGTTATGGGAGAGAGGAGAGTAGTATTCATAGTGTGTAATTGTGGAGGGTGAGGCGGAGGGGGAGGGGGGAGGATGAGGAGGAAGATAAGGAGGGGGAGAAGGAGGAGGAGAAGAAAGAGGAGGAGAGAAGAGGAGGAGGAGGAGGAAAGGGTAGGGGGGCGGAGGGGGGGGAGGGGGAGGGGAGGGGAAGGAGGAGGAGGAGGAGGAAGACTGACTGACTGACTGACTGACACACTTGCGATCCACTTGCTATCTGACTGGAGGTGGGGGAGGAGGTGGCAAACTGCTGACACCCACGCTTCACTCATGCAGCAATTGTGTCGAGCAAGAGAGGCTGCAAGTTCCACATCGGCTGGGACAGGCTTACGTCACGTCGAAAGAAGCTGGTCGTCGTCGTCGCAAGGCCGTTCTCGGTCGCCACGAGGCAGTAACCTTCACCTCGCACTCCCCGCCCGAATATCACCTCCTCTGGTATTGTCTTCTCCCGTCGCATCTCGTGTCCAACATGGGCTCCTGTTCCGCCAAATCGCTTCGCCCTGTCCTGTCTCGACATCTCCTGTCCTTAGCTGCCCCGATACGCAACACGCGACACGTATCGGATCGATAAGGAGCTCAACCCGTAGACTGAACACGTAGGTATGGCGCGATACGTTCGCCAAAACGTGGGCCAAAACGCTGAGCCAACGCGCAACGCATTGGCACGGACGTTGTAAGCACGGTACGTGTTGCGTCTCAACACTGGCGTATCGAGGCAGCGAAGCTCCTGTCCTTTCCAGGCGCCCCCTATGTCCTCCCGCAGCTCCTCTCCCCTCCGAACCTATAGGAAGGAGACGGAGAGGAGGAATATAGCCTGCCGCTGTTCCGAAGCTCAACATCAGGTCTTCGCCCCGGCCGTCCTCCCCGAGGTTTGAGGGCTTCTGGGATCCTCAAGCGCCGAACGTCCAGCGTCTTTGCTCTCACATGCCTTTCTCTCTTCTGAGCCCACTCCCCGTGGGCTGCTTTGGTCTGCACCCGTACCCGCTGGTCGGAAGAAGACGCTAGAACCATGAACCAGGGAGACGTTGGAAGTAGATTGGGCTTCCGCCCGCCCCCCTGAAGAGGAAGGAAGAGGGGACACCGCTCGATTATTGAAGTAGGAAAGCGCTTAATGTAGATTGGGATCCGAAAATCCAAACGCACCTACTTTCAACAACCGACGGGTATCGGTGTCGTGCACACCCCAGCACTGATCCTGACAAATGATGGTTTGACGAGTATATGACTCCTGAGTTGACGACGACGACGTGGTACGATTAGCATTGGGGAAACGCGGCCTGTGGGAAACGGGTCCTGAACCCCAGGGCCTTCCCCCAGGACGAGCTCTTCATCCCGAGTCGTGCTTCGACAGTCCCGTGTGCCGTTGAGTGCCCCGAGGGCCCGACAACGGCGAACAAAAACCTCAGGACCCGCTTCACTTGAAGGGGCCCACAGACACACAAATACACGCCGGTCGGAAGAAGTAGGTAAAAACATGAAGTAGGAAGGCGGATCAAGTAGATTGGGTTCAGGACCTCCTAGAGAAAAACAAACCACAGAAAAAGACGCATCGGTTCTTGAAGTAGGAAGGCGCTTGAAGTAGATTGGGATCTGGGAAGCCAGAAATACCTACTTTCAGCGACCGGCGTGTAAATACACACAAATAACAGGAATCCCAATATTTCCCCATATTTTCTGGGTTTTCGTCTTCCCCACCACTTCCTATATTTTCCTGGGGATCGACAATTAATTGTGTCTGTGTGCTTTTTCCCCTCCTGAAAGTCCCCTCCTCGACATGGCACGGACCTCACCCCGCGCCTCCCGACCGCACGATCGCTGCTCTCGGCTCGCCTCGTCGCGCGGTGCCCCACCGCCTTCGGGGGCTTGCCGAAAGCTGCCCCCGGCCCAAGGTGCCCCCAGCTTTCCGCCCAATCTGACGGGGCCCTGGGACACACAAATAAATATACACAAATGACAGGTTTCCCTACATTTTCCCATATGTTCTGGGTTTCTGTCTTCCCCCACACTTCCCATATTTTCCCATACTCTCTGGGGGATCGACGATTGATTGTGTCTGTGTGTTTTTTCCCCTCCTGACGATCGCGGAGCCCCTGGGGCCCCTCTGGGCCTCGTGAGGGGTGCCCTGGAGGCCGCGGGGGCCTCCTTGGAAATCCTGGGTGTACCTTGGGCCAGGGGCACTTCTGGCGAGGCCAACCTTCCTCACCCCATCCTGTTGTACAGGAGAGGGGGGGAGGAGGAGGGGAGGGGGGGGAGGGGGAATGGAGGCTGTGGTGGTGTGCATTCTTGGGGCCCGGCACCTCTACCAGCACCCGAAGGGCGGCGAGAGGAGGCTCCCCGGGGCCCTCTCCCCCCCCCCCCCGGTGCCCGCCTGCCTCACGCCGGGACTGGCGCCTGGCGCCAGGGGCACTTCCACAGAGGCCTCCTAAATGGGGTCGGAGTAGATGGGGTCGGAGGATCGCGCCGCATCGCCGATGCGTCGGCAATGCATCGGCGATGCATCGGCGATGCGCCGGCGATGCATCGTCGACGCGGGCGGTGCAGCCGCGACGCCGACGTAGAGCAAATCGGGCCCCGCATCGAGCCGCACCGCCGGCGCATCGGCGGTGCGGAGCGATCCTCCGACCCCATCTGCTCCGGCCCCATCGAGGATTGGTGGTCTCCAAACCAGGTGGTGAGACACCCGGTGGTGACCCCGATTCCCCCCCAAAAATAATTCTGGGTCACCACCGGGTTTGGGGACACGCGGTCGCCACGAGGTTCTGCGTTTCCTGGGCCAGCCATAGCGCTCGAAAACCGTTACCCACATCGCCCCCAAACTCACCACCGGGTGTTCTCACCACCACGTTTGGGTACCCTTGAGAAGAGGCCCAGATTCCAGCAGCACCGGAGCCCTCCTCTCGTCGCGCCCCCCCGTGCCCCGCGGGCGGTATGCGCACAACCGGCGCCTGCGGAGACCGCGTGCGATCTGCGGCGCCGCCGGCGGGAGGCCTGCCGCTATCCTTCGGCCCCCTGGCCATCGCTCGGACGTCCATTCCCTGTGGTTTTTTGTTGTGGTTTTGTGCGCGGTTTTTCGCCAGATGAGCACGGAAGCTCCTCGATGGCCCTCGCCGCGAAAAGAATGCGCACGTCCGAGCGATGCCAGGCCCCCGGACGTCCTCACCGGGCCTCGGGACCGCCCAGAAACCACTCAGGATGAGAAGCCGGTCCTGGGGAAGGGGTCGAGACCTCCAGGGTCGGCGTTCAGAAACAAAACAAAAAACATGGCGTCGGGGGTCTGGATGTGACACGCTATCCCCGACCTTGGGGATAGCGTGCACCGAAGAAGCCCTTGCGGGGGGATGGCGTGCACAGAAGGATCTCTCGCAGGGGGATCGCCTCGCAGAGATAGCGTGCACGGAGGAACCCTGATTCAGGGGGATAACGTGCTTTTCGGAGATCGGTATTGCACGCTATTCTTTACGCCGCCAACCGTTCATCCATGTTCATGCGTATATCATATACATGCATATCCGACGATCCGGAGTGTGTGAGTTTCAAAGAGCCTAAGCTACATCCTACAGCCTGAGCTTCAGCCCTGCTGGGGGGTCAGGGGGGGGGCCGGGGGGGCCTGCTCCGCCTGTCCTCTGCTTTCTGGGCGGGACTGGGATACGCAAAAATCTGCCAAATTCCACCCTGGGGGCCAGAGGGTCCAAGATGGCCGCCAGATATTACCCAGGTGGCTCCAGATGCACCCAAGATGGCCCAGGATGCCCTCCAAAAGAGGCCCAAATCATTGATTTTCTACATGCTTTCGAAGGATTTGGGCGCCTCATTCTTTTCAACCTTCCGACGGCCCTAGGTGCCCCCAAGATCGCCCCAGAGGCCTTCAAGATGGCCCTATGACGGCCCAAGAGGCTCCTAAGACGGCCCCAAGAGGGTCCCAAGACGGCCCGAAGGCCCCCAAGAAAGCCAAGATAGCCTCCAAGACGGACCTGAAAGCGCCCTCAGAGTGCTCCCAGACGGCACAGCGAGGCGCCAAAGACGGCTTCCGACGGCGTCCGACGGGCCAGGAACGCCCTCAGACAGACACAACCACTCCCACGAAGTCAAAAGCTTATGTTTATGCAGTTTTTCTTCTTCGAGCTTCGCGGGCAACGGGCCAGGCATGCAGCGGGCGCTCTTCCGCCTTGGCGGCGGGTCTGAAGTAGCCGGGCCACGCGTGCACATGTGCGGTGTGCAGCATGCACGACGCCTCGCCGAGCACGATGGCAAGCAACGGACACGACCTGCGGCAATGCATGAACTCATGAACACGAAGGTGCTGGTGGCGTGGAGCGAACGCGCAATCGTCAGGACGACATGGACATCGCTGCAGACAAGAGGAATCCGACTGAGATGCAAGAGAGCCCCCTGACTGTACAAGTGCGCAGCCCTCCCGGGGAAGCCAACAGTGCTGTAGTCGTACTTGTGGCACAACCGCATCTGGACCCCCCAGAGAGCGCAACTCCTTGAATGATTCTGTCCATTCAAACTTCCCACGCTGAACCTGTTCTGCCGCACGTCCTTCCTACTCTGGTCGCTGAGCTTCCGATGCGCGCCCATGCTGAACCACTAAGCCCACCGTCACGATCGGAGATCCCACGCCGCTCGTGCATCCGAACATCAAGCTGTGAGTCAACACCTCCAGACATCTCCCGACGGGGTCGACTTGGCCCAGACGGGGTGCCCGCGCCAGATACCATCCGGAGCCCCCCGAGGCCCCAATCTGGCATCTGAGTCGGGAAGGCCCCGCCGATCGAGGCACGTCTGGAGCTCCCGTGCTGTTTCCCCCCCGCGGTGCGTGCTCCTCCACTGCGGGGGGACGCTGGGAGGGGACTGGCTCAGGGGCGCTCCTGGGCGCGGTGGGCGACCGGGCCCCTATCGGCGATCCATGGGCGAGCGGGGGTCGATGCATCCCACCCAGGGCGTAAATATCACCGCCCCCCTCCCCAAACGTTGTCCCTGATCCACCGCATCCTCCAATCGTGGAAGGCATGCCAGCACAGGGGAGAGAGGTGCTCTGCTGCTCCCGGCGCGACCCGGCATGATGGAGAGACGCTTCGCTCCGTCCTCCCCTCTCGAACATCGGGGGAAAAAAGTCAGACTCAGAATTCGGGGGACTCGGGTTGGCGCCTGACGACGAGCCGTGGAGAATGGCGAGGCCCAGGCTGGGGAAAGCACCCGGGGAACGTACCGATCCTACTCCCCGGATCTCTCCTGCTCCTGGGGTGCCGCCTGCCCAGAAGGTCGAGGGGCGAGTCCGAGGCAGCGGCGCCGAGGGCCTCCCGGGAGGCTCAAACAACAAGCAAAAAACGCGAGGCGAGGGAGTGACGGTGTGGGTCGCTCCTCCTCCGCCCGAACGCCTCTCGCTCCGAGCGACCGACCGTGCGGTGGTTGCCTCGGGATCCACGGGAGACCTCACCGCACCCCTTCCGTCGCCGCACGGTTCTGTGTGGCCTCCCTCGTAGGCGCATGCGCACTGGCCCACCACACGGTGCGGCCACCGAGCCGTGCACAAGGGGGCCCCCCGACGTCTGCCGGGGCCGCCGTCGAGGGCCAGCTTGGCACCTCGCCCCGAGCAGCTCCCACGCTGCTCATAGGAATCCGCGCTGAGTTCCGACTATTTGTTCATGGCGTCTGCCTCCGTCGAGAGCAGGCCTGCTAATGCCTCGCTGCCACCCCCTGCAGCTCCTGATGATTCCCTCCCAGCCTCTTGCAGCTCTCTTGCCGCGTTCTCGTGCGGAGTCTCGTGCAGTGTGGCTGAGAGGCCGGCTGAACTGGCAGAAGCAGTAGTGAGAGCTTTGCTACTGCTGCGTGTCGATGTAGAGAGCCGTGTGCCGAGGCAGGCTGGACCCGTGAGTCGGAGTCAAAGTCAAAGCCCGGCCCCGGCACGTCTTGCTGACCATGCTGCTCGCAAGCCCATGATCAGTACACCCCTCACGCGGATCGGGCCTGATATAGGGGAACAAGAAGTGACATAAACATAAAATCTCGGAGGTCCGCGCGGATTTCTCGGATCGGCGCTGGGCCCCCCCGGCGGCGCCTCCAGCGCCGCCCCTGGCGCGCTCCGCGCGCCAGGGAGGGGGGTCCAGCGCCGATCCGAGAAATCCGCGCGGACCTCCGAGTTGTTATGCCTACGTCATGTTTTGTTCCCCTACGATAGAGGGTATCCGCGCCCATTTCGGCACACCCTGACATGGATCGTGTCCCACGCAAAGCTCCACCTACGGCCCCACCAGGGGGCTCCAGTAGCGCATCCGCGCCCACTTCCGCACCCACACACACACTCACACGGCTCGTGTCCCATGGGGAGCTCTGGCTACGGCGCGACTGGGAGTGCTCCTGTACCATACTCGCGCCCTGTTGGCACACCGCCTACGCAGATCGTGTCCTATAGCGAGAGCGCAGCGTATGCGCGCAAATTTGGGTACACCGCTCACGCAGATCGTGTGCCGCAGGGATCTCCACCTGCGGACCGAGGGTGCTGATATGGCGCATCCGCTCCTGTTGCGGCACGCCCCTCGCTCGGATCGTGTATAGCGGTAGGCGTGCTGATGAGAAGCGTACAGCAAGGGTGAGCTCCATGGTTCGGAAAGGACACCCCAATCCACATTGACAAACTCTTGGTCAATCCATGTTCGGGGGCGGCCAAGAGGGGGGCGTCCAAGAGGGGCAGGCGCAAATCATGGCCGGCGGCATGTGCGCGGCCCAGGGGGGGGGCTGGGGACGAAATGAAACAAGAAGAGGCGCAATGAAATCTGAGGAGATATCATGGCCCACGCCATGATTGGGAAAGCGAAAACCCACCCCCACCCCCAGTCCCGACCCCATCCCCGAACCCGCGATCCAGGGGGTCGGGATTGGGGGTGGGGGTCGCTTTTCAGGGCCCATGACTGGAGAGATCCCACCCCCACCCCCAGTCTCGACCCCTTGAATCGCCAGCTCGTGGATGGGAGTCTGGACTGGGGTGGGGGTGGGTTTTCGCCCTCTGAATGATATCCATATCCACCCCCCCTTGGTCATCACCCTCCTCTTGGCCGCCCCCGACATGTACGGCCTGGAAAACACGACAGGACATCGAACTCCGACACGAGAGTGCGGAACCCTGGTCTGCACGCCACGCTTGAGGGTGGCGAGCCAGGCGCTGTCAGTATGGCACTGGAGAAAGCCACTATTGATATCGCCCTTGGACACGGGACCATCCCCATGACATCTCCAACATTTCAGACGAATCCATCCCCCCTGGACCCAGTGCAAACGAGAAAGCACTGGACTCTCGTGTATATCAGGCTCCCCGCGCCTTTACCCTGCTTCGGTGGCAACTCATGGGAGCCTCCTATACCATCTTGTCGGCTCTTGCGAGTCGACGCTGATCGACGCAAACGTCGACGCAAACATCGACGCAAAAATCGACGCCGACTCGACGCCAATCTGCGCTCATCGGCGCGTCATCGGCGCCGTCTCAGCCACTCCCAGGCGCTCATCGCTGCGCATCGGCGCGCAAGACAGCAGCGCGAGGGCACGCGAGGCTCCCAGGAACTGCCACCGAATCCGCAGCCGCCCGTGGAGGAGGAGGAGGAGGAGGAGGCGGAGGAGGAGGAGGAGGAGGACGAGGAGGAGGAGGAGGAGGAGGAGGAGGAGGAGGCGGAGGAGGAGGAGCTGCCACCGAATCCCAGCTCCCCAGGAGCCCCCTGCCCGCGGTGCGCACCAGGTACCCGCAGCCGCCCATTCTCCTGATGAGGCTCACCCGCTCGTCGCACTCCTGCGCTCCACCAGAGGGAGGGGGCGGCGAGGCCCCGCGCCCCGCGCGCCCCCGCGTCTCCGCGCACTCGCCACGCCCCTAGAAAAGGAGAAGGAGGAGGAGGAGGAGGAGGGAGGAGGGAGGAGGAGGGAGGAGGAGGAGGAGGAGGAGGAGGAGGCGGAGAAGGAGGAGGAGGAGGCGGAGAGGAGGAGGAGGAGGAGGGAGGAGGAGGAGGAGGAGGAGGAGGAGGAGGAGGAGGAGGAGGAGGAGGAGAAAGAGGAGGAAGAGGAGGAAGAGAGGCAGAGAGGTAGGAGGAATAGGACGAGAAGGGGCCAGCCCACAGGAAGCCTTCCACGGGACGCCCAGCCCCGAGGCCCCAGGGCTGCCGCCGACTCCTGGCGTGGGGACGCCACGCCCTCCACAGCAGGACCACCGAAGCCCGGGGCACCCAGGGCGCCCTGGAGGCAAGCAGGGCGCTTCTTGCCTGGCATGGGCCCCCACCGCATCCCATCGCCCCCCCAAAACCAGACCCCCGACGTGGCATTTTCCCTCACGACGTGGAACACTGGAGGTCTCAACCGCACTGGAGAAAGACAGCTACCGTGTTGGGAGGAAGGGGTTGGAAAGATAATTACACGGCGCGACTGTGCAATGAGCACCTTCAACATACGCGGTGATATGGACGATACGTCGCCACAACGTTTGTTCTCGACGCGCCCGAGTGGACGACGCCGACCTAAGGCAAACCCTGCCCCCCGCGCCCAAATAGACGACGCCGGCACCGCGGCAACCCCGCGGAGAACCCACCGCGTCGAAGCGGCGCTTGCCATGGTGGCCGAGACGCCCTCCCCAAGACGTCAGGCCGCGCGTCGGAACAGACGGCGCGGCGACTCATGGTGGGTTCCAGAAATCCTGAACCCAGAAATGTTATCGTCTCTTGGAGGGCAACTCTTTGCTTCTTCTTCTTCTTCTTCTTATTATTATTGTTATCATAATTATAATAATTATTATTCTTCTTCTTCTTCTTATTATTATTATTCTGTTTATTATTATTATTCTTCTTTTTCCTCCTCCTCCTCCTCCGCCTCTTCCTCCTCCTCCTCCTCCGCCTGGCTTCCGCCGGCCTTCCGCCCACCTCCGCCAGCGCAGTAGCCCCGGGTTCGCTTCCTCCGGCCTTCCCGTCCGCCTCCCGCCGAGGAAAATTGCCGACTCCCTCGATCCTCGAAGGCAAGGCCCTTTCTGGAACGACGACGGCGAGGACGACGACGACGACGACGACGACCACGACCACGACGACGACGACGACGACGACGACGACGACGACGACGCCGACGACGACGGCGACGGCGACGGCGACGACGACGACGACGACGACGGCGGCCCAAGGCCGTCCACAGCGACAGCACGGCCGAAGGCAGATAGAAGCCGACAGGCCGCAAGCAGGCTGGCAAGGCGGCCCTGAAGGGGCCCCTTCAGGGGTCCCAAAGGGCCCCTTTTCTGCAGTCCTCGCTGCCCCCCCATTGATGGCCCCCATTACATTCGGACCTAGGCCAGAAGAACATCCCTCAAGAACATGAGACCCTCCGTCGGCTGAAACAAACAGAACATCCAAGGGTACCCTCCCAAGGATGCACAAGAGCATCCAACAAACACGAAGAACACTAGGGTACCCTCCCCGAGCCGACCTCGAACTTATACCTCGGTCCGGCTGTACTCGACGCCCGGTGTGCCCGCATCAAAGGTCACTCCGGTGAAAGGTCACTCCTACGTGAAGCTGGCCCTCTGCCCCCCTCGGCACTCGCCCTCTCAAAATTTTGTGAGGCTCGGGGCTCCAGGCTTTGGCACGTCTTTCGCCTGCAGCGTGGGCGTCCTGGAACTCTCTCGTCGCAACGGCTGGATTCACCTCCGAGTAATGGCCAGAACGCGCCCCAGGACGGGTCCTGTCTGGTGGTCGATATTTTATCCTCGGATTGTTTGATTCCTTCCTCTTTGCTGCCGTCCCGCCCCGCCTTCGCCTTCCCCGTCTCGCACTCTTGCGATGCAGCGCAATGCATAGTGCAGCGCAGCGTGGAACGGCATTGCACCGCACTGCCCAGCGGAGGCTTTCTACGCTGCGTTGTGCTGCGCCTCGCTGCGCTATCCTATCTCACTCCGCGCTCGGGTGTGCGATGCGAGGCTGTGCAGTTATTGCGCGCATGCTCTCCAGTGCCGCCGCACAAGCTTTGGCGACAATACCCCGACCGAAACGCTGCGGCACGATCCGCAACACGCCGTCTACACGAGGCCGTCTCTGATCCGCCATGCTGATCTGGAGCGGCATGGCATCACAGGAGGCCGAGCGCCCCGAGCGCCTCCGTGCCCTTGGAGCGCTGGGGCGCGTGCTGCTTCCAGGCTGTCCGGCAAGGCGTCTGCAGTTTCTCAGGAGGCGTCCACCTCGAAGCAAGCGCCCCTGAGAGACCGCCGCCGTGGCGAGCCAGGACGGCCCAACAGTGCTCCACCACTGCCTCCGCATCTGACCAGACGGCCCCGATACCACGCATCGATTCCACGAAGACGCCCCAACGGTCCCACGATGCCCCAAGAAGCCGCCCACACAGATGCTTCCAGCGAGGCCTTGAGAGGCCAAACGCACTGCAACAGTACAATGAGTTACACGTGCTCGTTAGACCCTGCACATGGGTATCTTGTTAATAACATGACGCCTGCGCCACGCCCTCTCCTCCCACCTTCGTCCATCCTTCCTTCACTCATACCAAACCAATCATGCACCAAGGTGTGCCGTCGTGCTTCCCATGTCCTACGTAAGGGACTCTGACGAATCTGAGCTATTTAGTATGGTTGTAGTGTAATGCCTCAGTCTGACTTCCTCGCTCACTCACTCACTCCTCAATCCGTTATTCCTTACTCGTCGCACCGAGACTCACACTCTGCTTCCATCCATACTCAGGCTCCCCCCATGCTCATAATCGCTCACATCCAGCCAACCACTCCGAGACCCACCTACACTTAATATCCGTACCAACTCGTGCACCACCAAACTCAATGACGATCAGATCCAACCAGACCATCGAATACTCGTGCTGAGCCTATCTCATACCCCCAGCCACACAACACGTATCCAACACGACCCACTCGCACCCGAATCCCAGACCCCCGACGTCGTGATTTTCCCGGAAAGGGCTCAGGCCCAGGGTTCTCTTTTAGTATGTAAACATAGTCCCCCGTGCCCAACTTGAAGGAGGCCGGCGGATTCTTTCCCTGATAAATATCGAGGTCGAAGGAGGCCGGCGGATTAAAATTTGAGGATGTCTCAGGCGAAACGCTTGTTTTTGAAATCCCGATCGATAAATCACAGGGTGCGGGACACCTCAGCACGACCACACCCCAGCACGACCATGAGCACGACCACGCCCCAGCACGACCACGCCCCAGCACGACCACACCCCAGCACGACCACACCCCAGCACGACCACGCCCCAGCACGACCACACCCCAGCACGACCACACCCCAGCACG